GCATTGGGCTAGTATTCCAATTTGTGGTGTTACTCTGAGTGTATATCCACACCGGGCGAGCTTGAAAAATATGCCCGGCCACGGTGGGATTCGAACGGCCACGGTGGGATTCGTGGGATTCGTTTTGTTTGAATCCAGAATCACTTCTTCATGTCGTCGCTGGATGCAAGACCTACCTAAATGAAGGACGTTTCACGTGGCGTCATGATTCGGTGCTTAACTTCATAGCATCCATACTTAAATCTGTGAACCATTGTAACCTTTATGCTGACCTTACTGCAACCCTTAGTAACACAAATATCATATTCACCTGAGTACACTACACCAACACAGAAAAAATTCATATTACTAGAAAGCATTGGTATTGAAGGAACTAGATTCTGTTCCGAAATATCACTTACTCGAACCGTCCTGACCGCGTAGCTCAGTTGGAAGAGCATTGGGCTAGTATTAGGCCGTAGGTTCGAATCCCACCGTGGCCGGGCATATTTTTCAAGCTCGCCCGGTGTGGATATACACTCAGAGTAACACCACAAATATCATATTCACCTGAGTACACTACACCAACACAGAAAAAATTCCTTCAATATCACCACATTCCCGATCACATAAAGAATCTTGTCAGTAGCCTTTATACTGATTTCCAAACTTCCATAATAACTGAACAGTTCAATACTTCCTTCATTACAGTCGGTCGTGGCGTCCTTCAAGGCGATTGTCTCAGTCCTCTTTTATTCAACATGTCTTTCAATACCTTTATCCAACATATTAAATCGGAAAAATACCGTTAACTTGGATTTTGAAAATCCAGTGAAAACGGTACCCCATTAAATCCTCTTCATTGGTTCCAGTTTGCCGACGACGCGGCTGTTGTTAGCGGCCAAGAAAAAGAAAACCAAATGCTCCTTAATCGCTTTACAATCTGGTGTCAGTGGGCTCAAATGATAATACGTGTAGACAAATGTTCAACATTTGGCATTAGGAAACAAGTAACCAAATCCATTCAATATCTCCCAAAACTATTTATAAATAACTGTCTTGTACCTCGTGTTGAACTTGGTAAATCGTTTCGCTACTTAGGTCGCTATTTTGATTTCAACATGTCCGACGAAGATCACAAATCTGAGGTATATGACACACTTACTAATATCCTGAATGAAATTGATGATCTACCATTACATCCGAAAAACAAAATTCTCTTATACAGTCGTTATGTGCTTTCCAAAATCTCTTGGCACTTCACTGTTTCTGACATAGGCAAAACCTGGGTTAACGATAAACTAGATAGTATCGCGTCCAGGTATATCCGAAAATGGCTTGAACTTCCTATTTCTGCAACCCTTAGTAACGTCCTACTTCCCCACAATAAATTTGGATTAAATATCATTCTACCTTCAACCAAATTCCTTCAATGCCAAACTGTTTCTCGGAAAGCTCTAAAGTCGTCGCCAAATGAAGCGATCAATAACCTTTGGAAGGATACTAGCAATCACAAAAATGTACAATATGACAAATACAAAAACACCAAGGACGTATTAAACACCATCAGGGAACAACATGAAGACAAGCTTCAACACCACCTCATTTCACAAGGCTCATTTTTCTCCAATATCATTAACCATTCTACACTCTCATTCAACTCTATATGGTCCTCCGTTCAGAGTAGACTTCCCAAGAATATATTTAACTTCACTATCCGGTATATAAATAACACTCTTCCGACTCGCAAAAACCTTCTGAAATGGGGAATATCACCAACATCCGAATGTTCGTTTTGTTTGAATCCAGAATCACTTCTTCACGTCGTCGCTGGATGCAAGACCTACCTAAATGAAGGACGTTTCACGTAGCGTCATGATTCGGTGCTTAACTTCATAGCATCCATACTTAAAACTGTGAACCATTGTAACCTTTATGCTGCCTTCCTGGCTATATCAGTCCATCTGTTATCACCGGAGATGAATTGCGCCCTGATCTTTTGATAACACTTGACCACAAATGTATTTATATACTTGAACTTACCGTCGGATTTGAATCTAATCTCCTCACTAATGCAACTCGAAAAAGACAAAAATATCAAGATCTAATTAACGAACAGCTCAAAAATTATGAAAAAGTGAAATTTGTAAATTTATCGATTAGCTCATTAGGAGTTTTCAGCCACCCGTCGCTAGATTTCACCGAAATGCTGAAAGATCTAAAGTTTGATGAACAATGTAGAAAGTACTATGTTCGGAAAATTATTAATATATGTATCAGGTCCTCGTATTATATATTCTGTAAGCGTAACAAAGAATGGGATAACCCACAACTAATGTCATACTAATATTGTTATTATGTAGAGTGTTAATTCAAGTAGACACTGGTAAACTACCTGTAAAGAGAGGTTTATCATTGTAGTGTGTATATATATTATTGAAAGTAATAAAGTTTCCATTATTATTTAATTAGTTATATGGAAGTATAAACGTGCAAAAAAATACTGTCCAGTATAATACTACTATATACTGATAATAATTACACGACGTGTAGTATGGACTATAACAAACCCGTCAGAATTTATTGGTATACACGTATCAAATTGATTATGAGAGTTAACAATTTGTCAATCTAAATATGTAAATGAGTCATTGTATTCAGTCTCATCACCAAATTCTCCTGATGTCAATCAAGATTAGTCCGGTGAATGTAAAAGGCGGAATGGCAGTTGCGGAATGCCATACGGAATGGATTGCGGAACGAAAAATGATGTAAATTTCGCGACATTTTTTACCGGTGATGCAAAACATCCAGAGAACTTGATACTCAAACACATGGAAAGATATCCAACTGGTGATCCATACCAACCTGTGGCTTACACTGCACGTAAAGAGAGGTCACACTATTATCATGCGATACTAACTTGTGTAATGAAGAGACATCCATATTTTCAACTTTCCATGGTTGATTACTCAGAGGTGCAGAATGTGCTGAGTGAGGCAAACAAAATGAAGCTGGCTGGAAATCTTCAAATCATTTTGCCACAGCCGGACGCATTGTCAATGATAATTCATATTGTGTTGTGTTGTGTTGTGTTGTGTTGTGTTGTGTTGGCTAAGTTGGTACCTTATCTTGTGATGATATGAATATTTAATATCCAATCGCCATGATGATAAAGCACTCTGAAGGCGCTATACTAACAGTTTTTGCTCGAAATAATAATAAATCCTCTTGCGTAGTAGCTACGCCTTTATTGTAGAACGTTGGTCTTTATTGTAAAACTTATATATGCCTCCACTGGACCCTGTTGCCTGAGTTCCGAAAATTATGGATTTTATAGCGTTCGAAAAATACACACTCGCGATAATTACGTGTTTGGTCTGGAAGCTTTGACTCTCGAATCGTCAGCAAATCACCTTGCGTTTTTTCAAAAAAGTATTTATCACGACGTAATTATCGCAAAAAAAATTCATGTCGTAATTATCGAAATTAAAGGGTGTATTGCAAACGTGGAGAAATCACTCAGAAATGCTGCTATAAGATTATGGCGCGAAAATTGTCACGTAAAACATGTCGCGAAATTTACATCATTTTTCGTTCCGCAACCATTCCGCATGCCATTCCGCATGCCATTCCGCAATGCCATTCCGCCTTTTACATTCACCGAGATTAGTCGACTAAATTTGACTGCAAACAACTATTACTTAGGCCTATTTCAAAATGGTTAATTATGATCACTCAACAGGCTGCAGCAGTAACATTATCTAATTTCTAGCGTGCACTATATTTACACTATTTAATTTGCGCATCATACACACAAAAAAGGTGTGTTAAATTTACACACTGTGTTTGTTCACAATTACACACGTTTAACACAGCTTGGAAGTATGTTTAATACACATTAACTAACAAGGGAATAATGTTAGGCAATCAGCGCGTTTGTTTATATACATTTTGCGTCCTTGACCAACCAGAATGCCCGGAATTTGAACATATAAACAAGAGGAGAGAAAAGATAAATCCTTGTTGTACGCCCTCCGTGCCATTCGATATTTATACTTTTTACTCCAAAACTGACCAATTCTGATAAAGCGTGCTTTCGTCTTTCATTTCCTCGGGGGAATTTTTAAAATTCGAGCTAGAATGCGAATTGTTTATGTGAATAACTGCAGTGTTTCGACGCGCGTAAATAGCAGACTCTCCCTTGCACTATCTTAACAAACACATGAAAAATTGGCAGATTTGGCAGTTTAATCAATTAAACCTATTTTCCCCACATCTTGATTTTAGCGAGCCAGCGATGTGGGATGTTCACTGTTTTATGACGTTTTACGACGTATAAGTTTCTTAAAAAAAAATAACATATCCGTTTTCGCGAATTAATCAACAAATATATAAAACAAGACGCTCTGTTGATCTGTTCAATGTTTAGTCGCTGGGATATATATTAAAGTAGAGGCCTATATTCTCCGATAGTAGAGGCCTGCACAAATTTGACGAGAGGGCATGCAATTGTATAAGTCTAAAAGTATGAAATTTGTTGATTTTAGTAAGTTCTAGGCTATTATTTAATATTGTTTAATACTATAGCACTGACATACAGTTAGGAGCAAGTAAAATGCACCTAAAGTTACAGCCAAATTAATATAACTTTCGATACACATAAATTTTGAAGTTTGAAACCATTATACTCAAGTATTATAGGCCTCAGTCTCCCAACGCCTGTCTTCTATAACGGCATGCAAGCAGCAGTAATGTCCAAATGTTTGTTTCTCAACTCATGCTCGTGGCAAGGTCCTCGGTAGAAAAATACCTTATTCAAAACGAATACATAGTACACAAATTACAACAAACATCATACAATAATTTAGTACAATAATTTAGTATTGCCTCGCTCTTTGATATCCTTATTCAGAACGAATACGTAGCGTGCAAATTACAAAAAAAACATCATACAATAATTTCTAGTAGAACTGGAATCGTCAAAGCCCGTGTTTTGGGGTCGGAAAGCAATTCTAGCTGTATGTTGACTATGTTATTTTAAACTGTCTCAATTTAGGTATCAAATTACGTATATCAATTTTTAAAAGTGTAAGAGACCTTCATAATTCCAAGTTTCCAACTGTATAATGTATTCATATTGCTATAGTTTGTAGAGGGCGAATTGACGCGGCAATGGCGGCATACGAGGGGTATATAATTATATATATTTATAAAGCTATATTTATAATAATAATAATCTTTATTGATTAAATACGAATAAATACAGGCACATATGAAATTACATGCAATAAAAGATACAAAACGTATCCCCACAATAACTACATATAGATATAAGCTAGATTACAAAGAACGCATTTACATTTTTTATATATTATGAATAATAATATGCATGTTTGGGTAATGCATTGCATGGTTATTATATATAATAGAAGAATATCATGAAAACATTTTGTCACTATTTTCATGATAGATTTATCATGTACCGGGTGGCGCAAAAAAAAAGTTAAGCTGTTTGATTTGTTTTAACTCAAAAGCTAAAAGAGCTATTACACGTGAACTATGTGCATTGCATTCAGTGTTGTCCAACTTAAACTTTGATATACGCCCAGTGCATTTTCGTGCAATATTGACCGAGAGAGCTGCATGCGTTTAAACTTGAGTAACCATTTTTGAAAGTGTCGAGAATTAGCCAAAAACGGCCTGTTAGATATTTAATGCAGCAATAACTTCTGCTTAGACGCACTATTGTCAGAAAATACACGTTCGTTGTCAGAGACCTGCCCAACGCCGCCGGTATAACCTCACGAGCATTATTTACCCTTGCATATTCTAAACATATCGATACTCTTTGGTCCTTCGTTAAACGAGGCGTATTTATAAAAAAACACTTGACGTTTCTTTCTTGGAACATTAGAATTTGATCCCCAGGGTCATTGAATATTTAGAATAAATCTTTTAATCAAAATCGCTTCATAATTTAATTTTCATGCATCCCAATGACCTTAAACAAAAATAAAAGAGCACATCCATCCAATAAACGTTTTAAATTTAAACTTCACTTCATTGAAACGAATATTTACGATAAAAAGGTAATGGTTATCAAATTAGTTTAACAGGCCGTTTTTAGCGAATTCTCGACACTTCCCAAAATGTTTATTCATGTTTAAACGCAGCTCTCTCGGTCAATATTGAACGAAATTACACAAGGCGTATATCAAAATTTAAGTTAGACAATACTGAATACAACGCACGTATAGCTTAAGTGTAATGGCTCTTTTAGTTTTTAAGTTATTGTAAATCAAACAGGTTAACTTTTTTTTTGCGCCACCCGGTATATATTTAACAATTAGACAACGAGGCCGAGTTGTCTAATTGTTTTAGTATAAACTTTAACATTAATTTACAAATAGGCTGCAAACACAATACAAAAATACACAAAAAAATTATAAAACCATTAAAGGTAAACAAATATTTTA